AAATTCATAATCTTTTAAAATTATTAATTAAAAAAATTAGATTATATATATATATAATTGATGAGTAATATTTTACAAAGATTTAATTGACTATAATGCTATTAAAATTCATAATCTTTTAAAATTATTAATTAAAAAAATTAGATTATATATATATATAATTGATGAGTAATATTTTACAAAGATTTAATTGACTATAATGCTATAAAAAGTTATAATCATTTAAAATTATTAATTAAAAAAATAGAATAAAAATATATTAAAATTTATTTAGATGATATTTTAATATAAATAGTAAGTTTTAAATCTCATCCTAAACCCTTAAAATTTTTTGGCAACATGATTATAATTTTCAAAACAATTCTTTATTTAGGAAACGCTCATGTTAATTTTTATGTTTGAAATAATAATATAAAGGAGCCGAACAAAAATAGTATTTTTTGAGGAGCCGAAGAGGCCGGTGGACGTAAAACAAACCCCATTAGAAATCCAGCTCTTATTGGGAATTTCAGCACCGGATCTCAACATCGCCGGCCGTTCCCTTCTTCTCCTTTTCCTCCTAATTTCTCCTTCTCATGGAAGCCGATGTCTCCATCCTCTTATCTGTTTATCTAGTTTGGTCGATCGGAAGTCGCCAGGTATGAAGTTTTTCTACTCCTTTGTTCTCGATTCTACTTGAAAATTCCATCTTTTATTCGGGAAGATGCCCTTTCAACGCTTAGGCTCTATTGTGCTTTATTTTTAATGTGTTCGTTTTGCTTTTCTGATTCGCAAAAGATCATCCAGGAATCCAGCAGGAACGGGAAGGGTTGGAAGTGGATTTAGCTCTGCGAATTCTCTGTTTGCTGCATTTGATCGGGAATTGTACGTTTTATTTGTTGAATTGGATATGGGTTTGCTGAATACAAAGGGAGCAGGGTACCTTTTGGTACTTTTTTGTATTGTTCTTAATTCATTTGTTAGGCTTGCTGGAGCAAATATAGTGGTGATTGGGAAGAACGTATCTTTGTCATTTAATGATCTTGAGGCCAATTTTGGTAAGCTTTACTGTTATTTTCATTGTATTTTAGGTTTTTTTCTCAATTCATTTATTGTTATATCTTTTTCTTGTTGGAGTTGTTCTACAATCATAGGACTTGATTGTAATCTAATTTCTTATATGAATATAGTTTTTTTGTCGTTGGATAGATGAAGTTAGGTCAAATTCTTGTAGTAAGCATTTCATTTCTTCATCCATGTTTAGACATATTGTTGAATTGCATGGATAAGTTGAAGCAGTTTCTAGTGGTAAATACCATTTTTTAAAATTACGCAATTGGATACTGAGTTTCTTTCATTCGTGAGGTGAGGCGTAAGACTCAATATGTTTTGATGCGTAAGTCTCAAAATTTAAATTTTTTTTTAAATTAATAAATATTGTATTAACTATAAATTATTAAGTAAGAAATAACATATTGCTATTCTAACTTATTAACACCTTAAATGGTAATTTAATGACATTTTAAACAGTATAGAGTTGTAACTTGTGTAAAATTTAAAGTAACACATTAATATCCTAATATCAAATTATGAACTTAAACAAGTTATACAAACATTAAACATCAAATTAAGCTACAATGTTAAAATAAAATATTAAAATATTAAAACATAATAATTAAAATGATTTTAACATAAGTCTCTCGCTCTCATTCATACTTTCTCTCACTTAAACAAGAATATAATAAGTCATCAATATTTGAATTTTTAACTTTAAAGCCCCTATTACTCTCACAACCCAATCAATTTTCATTAGAATAATCAACATAATGAATTGTTTATCATCATCAATTTTCAATTGCTCTTTATTTTTAATCCAAATTATCTTATATTTTTCAATGAATAATCATCAATAAAAATATTAATTAAATTAATAATCATGCTGATAATTAGAACTTAAACTACATATATTTTTATGGTTTTTTTTTTCTTTTTTTTTATTTAGTTTGTCATGTGTGAGGGTTAATATGTGAAATATATTGATATTGCTTTTTGTTTGATTAAGAAAAGATTATGAATACCTAAAAGATTTGAGACATTTTTTGAGGCGAGGCGCATCTCAAGGTGCTCCTTTGCTTGGGTGAGACGTACGCCTCGACCAAGGACAATGAGGGATAAGCTTCATTGCTACTTTTTATAAAAAGTGTTAAGGCAGGACTCTAGACGCACCTCATATTGTGCTGTTTTAAACAAAAGTAAAATCTGATGTGATCTAATGATAGTATTTTTGCAGGTAGAGCTAATTCGAATAAAGTGAACTTGAGTGTATTAATCCTTACTTCATTCAATTGCAGTAGTCTTCATTTCAATAGAACAATCTTGTTTATTATTCTCAATCATTGGTTTTAATAAATTCAATGAATTTGAACAAAATAGAATCAGTTAGCAAAAAGCTAGATCCATCTTGAAACCACCTCTCCTTACTGCATCCTCATCCATCTCTCTAACTCTGTTTTCTTCATACCCTGCTTTTAAAGGGTCTTAGTTGTTTCTTTTAAAAGATGGCTTTTTAAGTATTGTTTCCGATTTACTCTTTTAAACCTTGATACTGTTTTATTGTGTATCATTTTGTTGTGATTTATGGGCTCAAGTCACTATTTTGCCTGGATGGATGAGCTGCACAAAAATTTAGATACCTACTAAGAGAGGGATTTTCTATTTGAAAACCTCATTGATCATGTTACACTGGCCACTTAACTATAATTTTGTGCCTTGCTTAAAGGGAATGCATTCTATAAGGTCGTACTCTCTCTTCTTATTTAGGATTTTGCAGCTATAATTCTCATGGAAGAACTCCCAAATAGCATTGATAAGTTGTATATTGGTTGTTTCATTAGCATTTTCAAGTTTCTATGATTTAAAATTTTGCTTTTCATGCATACTATCACATGTTTCTAGTGAAAATACCATAGCGTACAGAGGAGGAAAGTAAAGTTGCTTTTGATAAGAGAAATACAAAATAGAAATGTCCAGGCGTTTAATATATTTATACAACAATATTGTACTAGTTGCTTTTGATAAATACAAAGACTGTATTGTCTTGATTTAGTTATGGATAGGAGTATCTATTTTGCTTCAATGGTTGAGATTTGTTGTGTTTTTATTGGATGCCAGGAATAGTGGTTGTTACTTTTTGATTGCATTTGTATTGGCTGGGTTGGTAGTATTATAATAATTCCCTTCAATTTGATGGTTGGATTGTGGATCAATGGCTTGTCACATAGCAGAGTCAAACTCTTGTTAGGAAGAACTTTGGTGAAATTGTTTGCATTCTAACTTTGAAAGAGCTGTGATACATAATAATTTTCTTGGGAAGAATACATTCATGTATGAAATGATAGTCAATCTTTATGTGTTGTAGGAGAATAAAATATGGGGTTATTGGCACGAGCTATGACAATAATGCTATCATTAGCACAAGGGTGAGTATCTATATAGATGTGTAGTTCCTGTAAGAGATGATAGCCATGGCTAGCATAGCAGAGTAAAACTCTTGTTAGGAAGAACTTTGGTGAAATTGTTTGCTTTCTATCTTTGAAAGAGTTGTGATACATAATAATTTTCTTGGGAAGAATACATTCATGTCTAAAATGATAGTAAATCTTTATATGTGTTGTAGGAGCATAAAATGTGGGGTTATTGGCACGAGCTATGATAATAATGTTATCATTAGCACAAGTTTGAGGATCTTTATAGATGTGTAATTCCTGTAAGAGACGATAGTCATGGCTAACACACCCTTTTTTTTTTTTTTGTAGCTGATTTGGCTGGAATTGATATTGTTTTTCAACAAACCAAGATAGAGTAGTGTTGCCAAGATAAACATTGTCAGATGCATCACCCTCACAATCAAAATAATAAAAAAAAAGGCATGAAACATGTGAGCCCTTTTCTGAATTGGAAGTTCCTATTTGGAGGCTCGTTTGATATAACAAAGTATATGTTTTATTATTTGAAAATGGCAATTTAGAGGCTGATGCATATGTTGGCAGACTTTGTTTAACCTAAAGGAGATGTTCAAGATAGTGATAATAAGATAATAGAGTAAACCTACTAGTTTGCGATAGAATTCTAGATAGTAAAAGAGTTGACATGAGTCCATATTGGACGGAGTTCTGGATGGAAGAGAATTGGAGACAGTTTTGCATTCAAACATTTTGAATTTGTGTAAAATTAATTTTATGTATTTTGACTTATTGAGAGGAATATCAAATGACGTGTTCAGCACATTTATGCTGAGAAAGTGAGAAATGGTCCTGTGATTTTTCATATTAACCTTCCAATTGAGTTTGTGAAGAAGCACTGAATTGCCTCTTGGTTCTTACCATTAAGAAGTATGTCGTCAACATAGATTAGAATACATAGGCAAGTTTGTTGATGAGCGTAGATCATTAGGGATGGACTGGTAGCACTAGATTGGAAATCTTGTTACTATAAGTGAGTTGAAAGAGTTGGATTACATTGCCTTGGAGTTTATTTAAAACTATAGACAATATTCTTTAATAAGCAAACATAGTTAGGGTATTGGGCATCTTTGAAGCGATGGGATTATGCCATTTGAACTGTCTTATCAACTTGCCATGAAGAAAGGTGTTGGATACTTTCAATTGGTGAAGCTTCTAGTTATTTATAGATACATATAAGAGCAATATGATGTTAGGCATTTTGGTGTTTGACCTAATTTTTTTATTGTAATTTATATGATGTTTTTCTATATATCTTGGGGCTAGCGTGCAATCCTGTCATTTGAGTTGCGTTTAATTTTAGAAATCCACTTACTGCAGAGAGCATTTTGCCTTGGGGAAGGCGGAACAAGTGCCTAGGTGTTTTGAACTTATAAAGCATGAAATTCTGGATATATATATATATATATATATATATATATATATATATATATATATATATTGAATTTTGTTGTCATTGAAGGGTAGAAGTGTATCTTTAATGAAGTTGGGATTGGAATTGTTATGCTGATGATTGGTTGGAGAAGAAACAGAAAGGACACTTCGGCTCATAAGATTTGTTTATGGTCTTTGAATAGAGATCGATGAAATGAAAGTTGATGATAGGATGGATTGTTCAAATGGAAGTAAGGTTAGTGATCGAAATGGGAGCAAAAGTGAGCATGAGAGTGTTTATGGCCAAGGAGATTCAGCTTTAGGAGGGAAAGGACTTGATGAAGTGATATTGCTTCATCGAATTTTACATGGTAGGTGGCATAACAAGAGATGATCACTTTCTTTGTGATTGAATTATAGTTTCTGTAGCTTTTGTGGGAGACCTAGCCCGTGAAATACAAATGAGATTTTGAGACTAATGTAATTTAGGAAGATAATAACTAAGGGTACCACCTTGAACCAATGGCTTTGAGATGAGGATATCGTGGTGGTTTGTTATGAAGATGCTAATATGGAAATTAGAAAATAGTTTTTTTAGAAGTCAAGTCCAAAGATGGCGACCAAGTTTTGTTTTATGTGAGAACGTTCAAACCGTTTCAATAATGTAATTTTTTTTCTTTCAACAACATTTTATTCTAGGGTATAAGGACTACTCGATTGATGTGAAATACTAAATTGAGAGTACATTATGAATGATAGTGTTATTCTATTTCCATCTCCATTTGAATAGAAAGTTATGATAGAAGTATTAAGATGTTTCTCAACCATTGTTTTGAATCGAATGAATTTTTGAGTTGTCTCATGTTTGTGTGCCATTGGAAGTGTCTAAGAAATCTAGAAAAAGTTATCAATGCAAAAAATATAGTATTTGTCACTTTGAATAAAAATACTTGAAAATGGTCTCTAGACATCAAAATGGATCCCTTCAAGTGATTTGTATGTTATGTATCTAAGTTAGAGCAAGGAAGTTTGTGATTCTTTGCTAAATGACACGAGTTCAGGTTATTGTGCAACTAGCAACAAAAGTATAAAAATACTTGGGTTTCTAAGATGGCATTGCCATAGCTCTTCCATGGAATGCTGAGATAACAAAGGTAAATTTT